AAAAAAGAAAAAGAAATAAATAATTTCACAAAGAATCGTATTTGCGTCACTTCAGGCTGCAGTGTGAACGTAGCCTATGTGACATATTAGTATGTGTCGATTTCCTGTAAACAATCAGTTTATAAGATGTAACAAGACATCTGACTGCTGGATTAATCCTTAATCTCAGGCCTAATCAGCAAGTCTTTTATCTTTTTACTTGTTGTGTAATCTCAAACAAGTCTTGCATCATCTCAGTCAATCTGCTGCTGAATGACAGCTGCAGAGCACCAGATACTTCTTCTTGCTTTGTTGCATTTCTCTGTGGTAAAACCAAAACAACTAATGCACTCAACACAGAGCATTTGCAAAAACATTCACAACACTGTAGCTTTGTAACATTGAGTGGCATTAAGAGGATTTTCTGTGGTAGAGCAGCATGAAGTAGTGGACTATAGGGAAGTGGGAAGCGGTTAAAGAATATAATTTTTGAAAAGTCTCCGATGCTAGAGATGGACCGCTCCATTTTTTCCCTTCCAATACAAATGATCGTAGGTTTACTACGTATTTGATACGAAACCTGGTGCTGAATTGACTTAAAGCGTTTCTTTTTTAAACACAGACATTAATGCACTAAATTACTAATTTTATGACCCGATCCAGAATTTTTCTCAATATCGGGACCAATACAGATATTAATATTGCATGGGTGCATCTCTGCAGACCACGTCAGGAAGTCGTCAATAACGACGACTTACATAATTTAGAAAATTAACAACTAGAAATTTAAATAATGTTCCATTTGAATTCAGCTCCACCAATTTTGAGCTTTTCTTCCTTCCAAATTTGCTCCAGGTCAGTTTCTATAAAGTCTGTTCCTGGCCTCCCCACAGCATAATGCCTCCACCACCATGTTTCATGGCATACTCAGGGAGATATGCACGGTTCGTTTTCTGTCACATATTGTTATTTTTCACATATGTACCCTCATCTGATCACAGAACTTTCTAAGTGTTTGTTTTGCTCTCATGGCCTACTTTCAGCTGCAAACAGGGACTTCCTGCGTGACGTCGGTAATAAACCAAATCTATTTTCCTGCTACAGCGAGATAAATACAGTGGAGGTTACCTAGCAGCTCAAAACTAAGTGTCAGGCTAACTGGTTAGGAGTCTGTTCGTGGCTTAAACCAAAGTGTTTTTTATCGAAGTTTCCGCTCAAGTTGGAAAAAACTTAGGTTGACTTTTCAGCCAGTTTCAGTAGCTCCCACTCAGTCCTGAACTCCCCAGCTGCGGCACAATAAAGGATATTTATATTCTGCCAACCTGAACATGACCAGAGCCACATGTTTAGCTTGCATGCAGCTGGTCTGAAACCACAGTTGACATTGTGACCAGATTTTAAAAGTAAACACCAGCAGACCGGCTCTGCGCTGAGTTTTAAGTTTATGCTGGGTTTAAACAGTCCGAAGAAGAGCGATTTCAGCCCCCGGCTCCCTGCTGGTCTCTCTAAACGAACTCTACTTTGGCGCACGCCCTGGTTCACATTCCTCCTCTCCAAGGCTGACGTCTGTTTAAGCACATGGCAAGCAGTGTTTTGGCAAACGCCACTGACAGAGACTTATATTACCCCAGCACTGGAGGAAAATATCGACTTCGCTGTGTCAGTGTAGAAACCTACAGCGAAAAGAGAAGTTCTGTTCATTGAATAAGAAATACCACAATATTCACATAGTTTCCCTGCCTGAGGTCAGTCAGACAGCTGCAGAAGACTCTGCTGGTAAAAATCATAAAGAATAGCACATTGAAAACACAGAGATCCTGTTTATGGCCGGGCAGTGGTACATGTTTGAGGGGAACATCTAGAGTCAATAAACAGAGCTGAGTTCAGCTTTTGTTCCTCCACACAGTGGGAAAGATTTCCAGTGAAGTTAACTAAGGCTGACTCCTGGAGGGATGAGGCACAAAAATACCTGCTGGAGAGGCGGCCATTACAGGTGACCAATCATTAACAGGTGGGGTACAAAACATGTTCATTACATTTTTTTGCACAAAATCATTCTTAGATATTGAGATTTCAGTCTGCTTAGTTCTGCCTATTTTGATTTCCTTTCAGAATGAGCTGTTTTATGGCCTCTTGTCACTTTAAATCGAATTAAGCTTCTGCTTAAACTCAACGTTTGGGCTAGCATGTGAAAATGGCAGCAAACAGACGTGCAACTATGCAACCGTACATCTTTGAAAAGCAATAGTAGATCCTTCTGCACAACCAACAACACTGCAGCAAGTGGTTTCTGGATGGTAAGTCAACAACACCTGTGTTTTCCAACAGCCATTGTACAATGTACTGACCCTTTGCACATGGTGTCACACTCTTCAGAAATCTGCCTGCTCCGCCATGACGGACGCCAAAACAACCAATGTCAAAACCAGACACCCGGTGTCCTAAAATCACTTTTATTTAGTTGATTTCACTTTAAAAATGGTCATAGGATGCTGTGAGGTTGGCTGCACAAACAGAGGATACAAACTTGTAATTTTATTTTATAAATATTAATGAGAAAAGATACAGCGCTGTTCATGACATAGTGATGTAAACCACGTGATGTGAATTCAGGCAAAGTGATAATTTGATCAACACGCCAGGAGGGTGGAGGTATGGGTCGGTTTCTAAGCTATTTGTTTCAAACTTAGAAATCCCACCGTCTGTGAGCCTAACCAGGTGCGTTACGTTCACAGACAAATCAGCTTGATGCTAACAAGTAGAAGCCATGAATTAACTGGCAAAACCAACTTTGAGAAACAATTTAAGTAGCTCTTTCCAATCCTCCCGTCCATCACTTCCGGTGTCCATCATGGCGCCTCGAATGATGAAGTGAAGGAGTTGCAAAGGGTTAATGAACTGCTAAAACCAGCCACCGGATGTCCTGGAACTCAGCTTGTGTTGCTAAGTAACGGGTTGGGTTAGACCGGGGTTGCTAGGTAACGGTGCCCGTGGAATGTGACTCAACAATATGAGGTTTTTGAAATGGTTTGTTTTCCAGACACCAAAAGCATGAACCTATTGTCCAAAACTGTCTGTGTGGTTTCTTTTAAGCGCTTAGGTTGTTTTTAGAAACAGTTGAAACACACATGGGAATATGAAAATTTACTAAATGTGAATTTTGCATAATGGGTCCCCTTTAAAACTCCCACAGGAGGAAAATCCAGGCAGCATCAGAGAGCTACACAATCTGTGGACAAACTGACGTCGCAGCTAACCCAGAGGGGGATGATGGATATTTCTTTTCCAAAGGTCTGACTTAAGATTAGCACACTCAGCTCAATAACATCTTGGGTGTGATTTTTCCATTCTTTCTGACCTCAAGGCCTTAAATAGTCAGTCAGGAAACACAATGGCGGCTGGGAGACAACATCAGCTCTGCATGACCTTTGTCAAAACACTAGCCTTTCCACGAAATGCTTTACAACAATAGCAAGAGAATTACTGACTGAAAATACAATAAATGTACTCTAGAAGACCCTTTCACTGCTCTAACAACATTAAAGAGCTTAGTAACACAGATGTTTTCCATTCAGAGTTAGTATAACCAGATGGATGGATGAAAGGAAGGATAGAAAGAAAGTTAACAGAATAAAGAGGAAAAGAAGAAAAACAAAAGAAAAAAGGAACAATGACAGAAAGATGGATGGAAAGAAAGTAGGAAACAAAAAAGAAAGAAAAAAGCAGATGGATGAACAGAAAGAAAAATGAGGGATGGAAGGAAAGGAAAAAGAAAGAAGGAAACGAAAATAAGAAAGAGAAAAATGGGAGGGAAGGATGGAAAGAAACCAGCAATTACAAAGCAAAGAAAAAATGAATGAATGAATGAATGAATGAATGAATGAATGAATGGATGGATGGATGGATGGATGGATGGATGGATGGATGGATGGATGGATGGATGGATGGTAGAAGTAAATCTTGTCATCCTATTAAAGTGATTAATTTTCCTCATTTGGTTTCTGGTTGATTCCCATCTCAGCTGGGTTAATAAATGGTTAATAAAATGTTAACAAAGGCTTAATAAAGGGTTAATAAAGTGTTAGCAAAGCATTAACAAAGTGTTAATGGATATTTAACAAAGGGTAAACACATGGTTAATAAAGGGCTAACTAAGGGTTAATAAAGGGCTAACTAAGGGTTAATAAAGGGTTAACTAAGGGTTAATGAAGGGCTAACTAAGGGTTAATAAAGGGTTAACTAAGGGTTAATAAAGGGCTAACAAAAGGTTAATAAGGTTAATAAAGGGCTAACTAAGGGCTAATAAAGGGTTAAAGTCCCAAACTAAGCAGCGCTATATAAACTCACACTCACCAAACAGCCCAGCAATAAATTACTAAACTCTTCAGGGGGAAGAGAGCGAAAGCTCCTCTGCTGCTGGATTCGCTCCATGTGTGTTGAAAACACGGACAGCTTTTGGAAACAAGCATTTTCCATTTCTCTGTCACAGACTCTGGAGCTGGGTTTAATTACGCTGCCTGCCTGAAAAAAGCTCTGCGCATTTAAAAACGGGGACAATGTAGAGTTGCACATGGTTATCTGAAGATACTGACACAAACAGTAAAAGTGTTATGATGTGTTGCAGAGGGAATTTCCATCTGAGCCCCCCTGCTGAGTGGGCAGACTGAAGAACTCAGTGGAGGAAACGAGGAAGTAAAAGTCAGATTTTCCAACCTGAGGTGAAACCTTCAGAGACGCCTCACCCACTGGGAAACTTGCGGCGCACAGATGTGAATGTTCGTGCGTCTGCAGCCTTTATTCGTTTTATCTGTGAGTCATTTTTTTTTTAAAACAACGTTGAGTTTCCATGGAAACGATTCCCATGGGAACTCCATAAAACGCAGACTCTGAACACAGACCTTTGGGGTTTCCCACATTTTCCAGTTTCTGTTTCAGTGTTTAACATTTTAAAACCCCTCTGGTTAAGAAAGAAACTGGATATTAAAATATCTGCAGGAGCGTCTAAGTGTGTCGGCACTTACGTAGCACGGCTATGAAGCTTTCCTTATCGAAGAGTATCCACAGTCCAAAGCCCATGATCAACGCTCCGAAGATCTGCGAAAGAAGAAACTGGAAATATTAGAGATTCACCAATCCAATATTAATATCTCTATTAATATTGATAAAAATAATAGATCAGGTATTGATTGGTGACAATATGTCAGATCCATAAAAAGACATATCTATTCACTGCAAAAACACAAAATCTTACCAAGTATCTTACAAAACTAACTTAAAAGTACCTTTTAAGCAAGATGTAGAGACTTGTTTTAAGTAATAAAACAATAATATTGATGAAAAATGGCTAGTTCCATTGGCAGATTATTTCACTTTATACACTGCAAAAACACAAAATCTTAACCAAGTATTGTTATAAGTGAAATAATCTGCTCGTGGAATTATTACTTGGTTGCTCGGTGACGTCCGGAGCTTGGCTAGGGTTGCTAGGTAACGGCAAAGTGCCCGTTGATAGTGAGGTAATCTAGCTTTTCTATGTTATTCTTCTGAGTTTTGTCATTTGCAAATCTCAGAGTTAAGGCAAAAATCTACAATATCTGAATAATGTTTATCTTAACTGCATAATAGAAAGTTATATTAGCGATCAGCATAGCTAGCATTACACATGGAGAATGCTGTTTTGGTGATGCTAGCAAGGCTAACTGATAGCGATACAAGATCATGATATTTAGAAAAGCTCCAAATGTTTTGCTAACATATTGATTACTTTTAAGTTACTTTGTCTTATTCCAAATGTGCTAAGATATTTGAACAAGAAACTAAACCAACTAGAAACTAATAGTTTATGTTTTTTGCAGTGTTTCGTCTAATTCTATGCTTTAAAATTTATTTTACAATATATTTAGAATCGCTAATTGCACTCTGAACCATTTGAAAGAAGATTTATTGGAGTTTATTTTTACATATTTGACCAACATATTGTTTTAGTCAGTTTCTGTTTTTTATCATTTATTTTACATTGGCTGTTGAACAAATTAAAGTTGTTTTCACATGTCTGACCCTGCTTGTGAAGTTATTGGTGTTTTTAAGTGTGCTGTATTAGTGCAGAGTTATCGAATGAATTTATGATTCTGTACATTTGTGTCTTTTAAAAAATAGAAACGTTTTAAGCCAGTTCAGCGCTGTTCTTCTGTATCGGTAAACCTCAGATATCGGCATCGGAAGTGAAAAAAGTGGCTCGGTGCATTTTTGTGTCATATAAGAACAAAACAGTTGGTATGCCTGAAAACATGGGAGAGTTTCCTTTCACTTTGTTATTTTCACATCTGGAAGTCATTAAATCTTAGTTTCTGTCTTTCTGTCGTAGCAGCAATGAAGAAAATGCCTCTTCCACATTTTCTCACGATTAACACCCAGCATTCGGCAACAAATTCAGTAATGTTGGTTTATGATTATTTCACTCCCTCAAATTTTTACTGACTGAGTTTGTGAAGCTCTGACGGTGAGCCTCTGTTTGGGGGTTGCAGGTTTCTGTCTTGGGGACCACACTCCTCAACAAGAGGCTCTGTTGATTCTCCAGCTTCCTGCTTGTATTGCTGCCCCCTCTGCAGCCCCACAGCAGTAATTAGTGCCCTGCTTAGGAGCTGATCTCTTAAAGAGGCTGCAGAGCACCGGCAGCCATCATTAGCCCACCACTTCCTGGCTCCCCTGGCCTCACCGTGCATAATTTGTCCACATGGACAAACACTTGACACAGACACACACGCTTCCTATTAGACCCCAGTTGACTTCAAAAGGCCTGTGTCAGGTTTATAGATGCAGACTCATTGGAAAGGTCTGGACAGCCTCGCAGAGTCAGTGTTGGAAGCCAGAACTGGACTTTAATGGAAGAGAGGAGGAAGCAAACTGGAACCATCTGCTGTTACTCAGACCTTACAGTTACTCTGTAAAGTCTCTTTCCTCATTTCCTTACACAGTATCTAGTATTTGAATAGAGATAACTATTCAAATAAAAAGCTGAAGGCAGCAAACATCTCTAAAGATTACATGGTTTTCCAGGTTAGCTGTGAGGCAGCAGTAATGGTTTTACTGTCCAGTACTGAAGTTAGCTAGCGGCGCTGTTAGCTAACTTCCCAGCTAACACAGAGAAGCTAGCTGGTGATTTTAACCTGAAGGTTTTCCTCTTAGCTGATCCTGAAACTCAACAATCCAATCTTTTTTCTGATCAGTGAACCCAAAATACCAAAGTGCTACTTGGTCACATTGGCAACAACACATAAAGGGAAGAAGAAGAAGACTCAAAGTTAGCTATTTTCAGTTCCAAATCATCAAATAACACTATTTAACTTTCTATTTGGTAATTTTCAGAATTGGTGTTAATTTTTTAAGCGTTATTTCAACAATGATTGGGTTATTTTAACACCAATCATTTTTAACACCAAAAACACTTGGTAAGATTTGGTGGTTTTGCAGTGCAGTTTTTTCCAGAGTTTTATTTGTGCAGATGTTGCACTGATTCCATCTTAGTTTTCCAACTGGGAAATTCTGACTTCTGATTGCAAAAACAGTGGAGAAAAATGTTGCTCTGCTTTTTTAATTAAACACAGCTGCTGGTGAGGAAGTGAGAACTAATGAACTGATAAAGAAAAAATGGCATTACTTACAAAAAAGAGGAGGTTGAAGAGGAATAAGAAGTACTTGGTGACTGTGATGCATCCTTTCGACATGGCTGTGATTGGGCCGAGCTACTTTGCAGAGAATTGCGAGCCTGAAACATAAAAACGTCCATTTAGTCTCATCTCAGTTGGAAAACGTCTGAGCAGATTGTAGGGAAAATCTGCACAGCTGGATTTCTCATTAAACACAGATTAAACATTACAATCATTCATGGGTTTTCAAAATTTCATACTTTCCTGGGCTAAAATTTCTAGATTTCCATTTAATAGGAAAATATTCACCATTATTCCGGTTAAACAGCGGTCCGATTTGTAGGTTTTAGAAATCATAAAACGTCTTAATATGTGGTACATCTTGGAGCTTGGACTCCGGCTGCGTTTCAAACTCTAACTGGTGGATTTAAGGTTTAAAATATTCCATTAAAAAAAGAAGAAAAGGATTGTTAAAATAAAATGTGGTAATTTTATTGTGTTTTTTAATAATTGGAAAAAAAATCTAATAAAATATATAAAAAAAGAATAAAATAACAAAACTTCCTGAACTTTTACCACACTCACTTTAAAGACCGCAGGTTGAACTCAACCTGATTTTTAAGTTATCGAAAGTAAAAATAATTAGTGAATAATGTGTCCATTCAGTCACTAAGTCAAAACTTCAAAATGTTGAAGGATAAGATGTTGAAAACCAAACCGTGATTTGTTATAAACCTGGAAAATAAAACAGATTTCCATGCTCCGTTGTATTTTTTCCCATATCTTGGCCTGGAAAATAGTCAACTAAAATTCTGAGACTCTTTAAGACTGAATTCATTCACAACAGTTTCTTAAACCGCTAACCCTCCTCTCATTTATATCAGCAAACCACTTTTAACCTCAGAAGGTGAAAAGTGGCCATTTGAGCAGCAAATTTCATACAAAAAGGAAGCAAAGTTTCTCTGAAGTGTTGGTCTGGCAGAGCATTTGGTTTCAGTCTGCATGAAGGTGGGGAAACAGATTCACCGCTGTGTTTTCTAGCAACAACAGTCCCGGTTGCAAACATTGTTTTATGGGCTATTTTTAAACGGAACCGCTTTCAATGACTTTATCTGGTGTCATAGGAAACATATAAACAGAAACCAGATGTAAATCTGATCTGACTTAAACTTTGGTATTTCTGTCATATCTGAAAAGAAAACCAACTCAGCACAGAGTATACTTCAATAAAACCCATCAAGCCAGCAACATTCAGCCTGAACTTCACTAAACCCAAAGAAAATGTACCCGCTACAAGATGTTATTCTGCACTGGAAGGAGCAAAAATACACCCGGCCATTGTGGTTATTTGAGGAGTCTGAAAATATCCCAAAAAGACGACTCCCTCCCTGCGGATCAGATTATAAGCTGCTTCCGTCTCCCCCTCCACTTCTACTCAAAATCTCTAGTTTGGACTCTGTCTGTGTCATTAAGTCCTTTTGAAGAGCAAAGTACACCATTTCAAACTCAATAAATGCGTCGATATCAACAAAAATTCAAAATATTTTGTTAAAAGGATTCAACAGAAGCTTCCTGGAGGTTAATATGAGAATAAATGGATTCCATTTGACAAACTTGACACCACTGTCGGATCAAAACCTCACATCTGTAAAAAAGCAGGAAGTGAAAACAAACATCCTTCTTCGAAACGTAAATCCATCCTGTTTGGTCAGAGTCACATGGTGTTTTTGATACTGTTAGAGATAGTCATCGATTAAACCACAGACAGATGCTCCACAGTGGCGAAACTCAGGTGTAACAGCAGCAAAACAAAAATAAGTGTAAAAAAATTATAAAAATGAGAATAAGTGACCTACATTACGATGTCACCAGGTGACTCAGAATTCACCCAATCACTGGACAGATGCTGAGAACAGATCAATGTGTCAAAACTTTCTCCAGCCAAACACAAGCGAAACTGAAGCTATTATATTTGGACCAAAAGGGGAACGATGTAGAGTCGACCCACAGCTTCAGTTACTACAGGAGGTCAGGCTGAACCTGAACCTTCAGAGCCACATAAAGACGGTTAGAAAGTCGGCCTTCTATCACCTGAAGAACATCTCCAGGATCAGAGGACTTATGTCTCAGCACAATCTGGAGAAACTCATCCATGCATTTATCTTTAGTTGCATTGATCACTGCAACAGCGTCTTCACAGGTCTGCCTAAAAACCAGCCGGATCCAGACGCTGCTGCTGGAGTTCTGACTAAAACCAGGAAGTTAGAGCACATCACCCGGTTCTACAGTCCTTCCACTGGCTCCCTGCAGCTCAGAGAACAGACTTTAAAATCCTGTAGTTAGTTTATAAATCACTGAACGGTTTAGCACCACAATACATTAAAGATCTGCTGCTGTTGTCATAGCAACCATCCAGACTCCTCTGGTTCTGGTTCTGCTCTGCATCCCCAGAACCAGAGGAGAAGCAGCATTCAGCTTCTATGCACCACAAATCTGCAACAAACTTCCGGAAAACTGTAAAACAGCCGAAACACTGAGTTCCTTTAAATCCAGACTAAAAACCCAGCTGGTTGCGGTTGCTTTTGAATCATAATCAATAAAACATTAGTCAATAATTTTATATGTAATGTTATTGACTGTGTTTTCTATGACTTTGCATTTTCATTACGTAAAGAACTTTGAAACACCTCATTGCTGAAATGTATTTACAAGAAGTGAAAACAACATGGCTGTTATTTGAAACTGTGCAGCTGTGAAAACACTGAGCTTTTGTGAGCAGTGATGATTACAAAGTCGTAGAACTAATGGGAGGAAGGATCTGCGATAACGCTCCTTTGTGCATTTCAGATGCGGCGCTCCGAAGAATTAATTTTCACAAGAAAACAAAAATGCCTAGCGTCAGGTTTTTATTTTATTTTTTCAGATGTCGGCACAGCCATTTTGCAGCTTCGTATCATCACATATTCGCACCTGTTCAACTTTTTATCATTTTGTTAGTTTACAAAAAACATCCAATTATTCCTGCCTTCAGAGACACAAAATTAGAAAGAGAATCCATTTAATCTGCATAAATCCAGCTGTCCTATAAAGGTTTGTTGGAGAACGTCAGTAAACAAACAGCACCATTAAGGACCAGAAGAGAGCAGTTGAAAGACGAAGTCATGCTGAGATTTAAAGAGTCGCTTCACCATAAAACATCCTCAGCGTTGAGCATCTCTGTCGACTCATCATCCCAGGACACGGAAAACGTGTTAAAAAAAGACCAAAGTGACACATTTTCCACCAAGTGTGTTTGGAAATGCATCAGTCTGGATACACAACCTCCAAATGGCAAGCACAGTGGTGGCAGCATCATGCTGTGGGGATGATGTTTCCTCAGCAGGGACAGAAAACGGGTCTGAATGCAGTGAAATTATGGGAGAAAATCTTTCTGAAAAAATTCTGTCTGGAACAGAGGAGCACAAAAGTGAGCCTCACGTTTTATATTTGTAAAAATAAATGAACACCCGTATCATTATACGTACAGCATTCGTTCTGTTTTCTGTGAATGAACGTTTACCAACAAGACGATGTTTTTAAATATCCAAAGTAAAACATCACAACCAAAAAGTATATATATTAAAACAAAATTGCCCTTTTAAAAATATTAGCTAATTTCATCTCCTATAAAATTTACTGTAATTTTGACCCTAATTTGATAAAATGTAAAATAAAAGCAACGTGTGACTCCATGTTCACATATTTTCCAGCACAGCTGCATTAATGTCTCTGAAACTCTCCAGTAGGTCACTTTATTGACCTACTGGCCAGAAAATACGAAGAGAGCTTCCTGTTTACAAAACTGAAACGAGTCCAAACCCCAAAGCACTCCGCAGCAAAGCAGCTAATCCTCAAAGGAGATTGTTGTCTCGATGTTTAGCAGCAATGCGGATTAAAAAAGGCTCAGTTATGATACCGTCTGCTGACCAAGCTCTGCTCACGTCACTTCAGCTCTAAGCAACATCTCTGTTGCATTTTCCTCTTCCAGGAAATTAGATGATCACCAAAATGGTTGCAAGTAAGGCTTAAAGTGGCGACACTCTGGAATTAGTTCAACAAACTTTTTTTAGAGTTTCCATTTTTATCCCAAGTGACAAGAAGAAGCCAAACAGTAAAGTGAGTTTAAAAGTAAAACCGTTTCCCACATCTGAAAAAAGAGCAAAGTTTTGCTTCGACTTGCATATTTGCTCCCTGCAGCTGTTTTGCAGTTTCCTCTGATATTGGCTGAAACAAACTAGCGAGGGAGTAACGAGATCTCTCCGTAATAAAGCCCCATAAAGCGCCGACTCATTCAGCATGCGGCTTTGTCTTCAAGTCTCTGCTGTTGTTATGAATCCCGGATATGAATGTGAATATTCTGAGCTTCAGATCCTGCTCTGGCGACAAATAAAGACTGTCACGATGGCGACTAAAGTTTGGATAGAAACGTTTTGAAGAGCCTTCTGCCACTTAAATTGTTTATGATTTAAGGCTCTCTGAAAATGATGCAACTGGCTCATCTTTAGCTGCTAAAGTTAGCATTTTGGATCTTATTTTGAAGGGAATTCTTGCATTATTACTTGACATTGTTTGCCAATCTGCTTCTGATCAGGCCGACTAAAATCCCTCAGCTGTAAAAAAAAATACAAACAATGAGGCAGAATCCTGTGAGGCTACATGCTAGCTGCTAACAACGCTAAAGCTAGCATCTATTTCATATCCTATTGTATGGATGAGACTCTTATTTTGAAATAAGAAAGGAAATGGTTTTTGAGTTGCCCTGTTAAGCTGACAGAAATGAACAAAGATTTTCATGTCTGGTTCTCCATATGGTGTTACATTCCTGCCACAAACCTTGTATAAGGCCATCATAGCAGCATATTTTTGACTGAGAGCACATGGCTCTCACTGTGGGAATTTCTGTTTATTCTCCCATCAACGCTGCAGGTGAGCGGTAGAACACGACATTTCGTGTCCTTGTTTGAAACTCTTATTTTGAAGGGAGGAAGGAATTAGTTCTTGAGTTGTCTCGTTATGTTGACTATGTTGACCAATCTTCTTGTGATTGGGCTCACAAAGAAAAACCCCTGGATTACAAAAA